CGGAAAAACTCACGAAATACGAATACTCGTTCCGATACGAGTTCAACCATACAAAAATTATCGAATTCCGACATCGGATTGGCTTTCAAATCTTCATTTTACATTTTTGGAAGATTTTATAAAAATCTGGTTTTTCTTCCATAAATTCACGAATTTATGATGTAAATGAGTATGAAATTATGAAATATAATTAATATAGGATAAGGAATACTTACCTCAATATTTTCCTGTGAAAATCGCCCAAAATTCGCCTTACCCGAGCTCAAAATCTTGAATAATGAAAAATGGGACGAAATCCCATTTCCAGAACTTAAGTTCTGCTGTCCAGGAATTTCTTCTTCGCAAACGCGATAGCACCCTCGCGTTTGCAAAGCACATTTTTGTGCTGCCCCGGATTTCTTCTTCGCGAACGCGAGGTCAGTCTTGCGAACGAGATGCCTTGCCAAACTTGGCCTTCGCGAACGCGGTCTCCTCTACGCGAACGCGAAGCCTTATCGCCCGGTGCCCGGCCATGCCTTACCTTCTTCGCGAATGCTCCCACGCGTTCACGATGAACACTGCCATCTACCCATTTGTGAACGCGGTCCCCTCTTTGCGAACGTGAAGAGTAAATTTCTCCTGCCTCCAGTTCCTCTTCGCGAATGCGAGACCTCTAACGCGAATGCGAAGAAGGAAACCAGACAATGCATCAGAAAAATTCTAGCAGAATTTCAAGTCCAGAATTTAACCCGTTAACCATCTGAAACTCACCCGAGGTCCCCGGGACCTCAACCAAATACACCACCAAGTCCTAAAATATCATACGAACTTAGTCGAAATCTCAAATTACATCAAACAACACTAAATACACAAATTACACATAGATTCAAGTCTAATAAAATTTGAAACTTTCAATTTCTACAAACGACGCCGGAACCTATCAAATCAAGTCCGATTGATCTCAAATTTTGCACACAAGTCATAAATAACATAACGGACCTATGAAAATTTTCAGAGTTTGAATCCGGCCCCGATATCAATTAAAGTCAATTTGTGGTCAAACTTTAAAATCTTTAAGCCTTAGGCTTCTAGTTTTCGCCAACTGGCGATAATTCAAGCTAGGGACCTCCAAATTAAATTTCGGGCATATGCCCAAGTCCCAAATCACGATACGGACCTACCGAAACTATTAAAACATTAATCCGAGTCCGGTTGCTCAAAATGTTGACCAAAGTCAACTCAATTGAGTTTTAAGGCTCTTTTTCATATTTTAATCAATTTTTCATATAAAAACTTTCCAGAAAATTATACGGACTGCGCACGCAAGTCGAGGAATGATGAATAGTGCTTTTCAAGGTCATAAAATACTAAAATAATTATTAAATTTAAAGATGACCTTTTGGGTCATCACATCAGGTAATTGAATATCATCTAAATTATCATATATAACATAATCTTCTTGAAGTTGCTCATAATCTACATTTAAATTTTCATGTGATCTTTTAGAAATATGTATAAAGCTACTAGAAGAACCAGTACCACCTCTTAATTTTTTAGAATTTTTACTCTTACTACTACCACCCCTACTAGTATACATTTTTTTGGCTGCTCTAAATATATCCATTATGTAAATTAAATTAAAAAACTAAATTAATAATTCTAAATAATAAAATAAAAATAAACACCAGAGAAGAGAAAGAGATGGAACGAATTTACCGGGAGTCCGGATGCCGCACTAAATTTGATATCATATTTCAATTGATATTTGATGATATTGATACCACACTTCACTTGAATACTTGATATTTGATAATTATATTTTTTTAGTGGCTAAAGTAAATATTTGATGAAACTTGAAATAATAAGTAATTGAGAATTTGAGAGCAATAAGTAATACTATCAAGAGAGAATTGAGAAAGAATTAGAGTAGTAAGAGAGCAAATTGTGAAAACAAATGAAGAAGATTGTCAGGACCCCAGTTTTCTTCTGTAGGATGTCGTGATGGCACCTAATCTCTAAGACTAGGTAAGCCTAACAATTTGTGGAATAACTGGATATAAAAAAACTGAACTCAAATCTCAACACGTAAAATATAAATAGAAACTGCGATTCAAATAATTACAACTCTCAAAACCCGGTATAAATAAGTCACAAGCTTCTAAGAGAAATGCTAAGTGTCTCTATACTTCAGAGTCTAAAGAGAATAAGGATAAACAGCATAATAAGGATAGGTGGGGACTCCAAGGTCTACAGATGCTGGTAGATGTACCTTGAAGTCTCCACGTACAGGCTATCTCACCGGTATCTGGCCTAGTGGGAAGAACTTGGATCTTCACAAAAGATGTGCAGAAGAGTAGCATGAGTACACCACAATAGTACCTAATAAGTGTCAAGCCTAACCTCGATAGAGTAGTGACGAATTCATATTAGGGCCCTACTGGATAAAAGAAACAAGGTAAAAGATATAATAATATAATGAAATGACTGAGAATATAACAATGAGAAATTAAGGAAATGTAACTACACAACAAATAGAGATTAACAACAGGGAAGCTCTCGATGTACCGCCTCGTAGTCTCAAATGTAAATTCACGACAAGGGAGCTCCCGAGGTATCGTCTCGTAGTCCCAAAAGTAAATATGCAATATGGGAGCTCACGAGGTACCGCCTCGTAGTCCCAAAAGAAAATATGCAATAAGGGAGCTCCCGAGGTAGCGTCTCGTAGTCCCAAAAGTAAATATGCAATAGGGGAGATCCTGAGGTACCGCCTCGTAGTGCCAAAAGTAAATACACAACTCATAACTTATGGAACAACGAATTTACAGCAAAGAATCCTACAGTTAAAGACTGAATACAAAATCAAGGAAGCAGGCAATTCAACTAAGTATGTTGCACAGATTGCAAGTAAGAGTTAAAGACACGTAGACATGTGACACTAGGCTAAACATGATAACTACACATGCTAAGGCAACTCAGTTAAGGAATTAAGAAAAGACTACTCAGCAAGAACTGGAATGTCCACATTTAGCCCGTGTATGCACTCGTCACCTCGCGTACACGGAACTCACATATCATAAATTGTTATAACAATACCAAATTCTGAGGGGATTTCCCCCACACAAGGTTAGACAAGTCACTTACCTCAAACCAAGCTCAATCAGTCAATAAGAATGCCTTTCCCTCGATTTTCCGACTCTGATTGGCCCGAATCTAGCCAAAATAATTTCATACTATAAATATAATTGCAAGAAACTAATTTTAAATAATGAAATTAAGACTTTAGAAAATAACTAAAAATTCGACCCAAAAAGTCGACCCAGGCCCACGTCTCGGAATAAGGTAAAAGTCACAAAATACGAACACACATTCGACCACGAGTCCAACCATACCAAATTTATCAAAATCCGACACTGAATCACTACTCAAATCCCCAATTTAAACTCTCCAAATCCCTAGGCTCAAACTCCCAAATTTCACCTTAAATACACACAAACTAGGTAGAAATTCAATGGAAAAATAATATTATTGATCAAAAATGAGCACAAGGGACTTACCTCAAGAATCCCTTCGAAACTCTCCTCATGAATCGCCAAAGCCCGAGCTCAAAATATTAAAAAATGAAGCAAAAATCGCGACCCTTCTATTTAAGTGTTCTGCCAGCACTTCCGCTTCAGCGGACACTTAACCGCTTCTGCGACGCCACATCTGCTACCTCTTACCCGCATCTGCGACTTCTTCCGCTCCTGCGTCCTTTCACTCCGCTTCTGCAAGCCTCCAAGTCGCTTATGCGATCCCAGCTCCTTTGCCTAGTTCCGCTTTTGTGGTCCAAAGCTCGCTTATGTGGGTGTGCATCTGCGTGAACACGTTCGCTTCTGCGGACAGGCCTCCCAAACACTCGTCCGCTTCTGCGATCATTTTTTTACAGAAGCGACTCCGCTTCTGCTGCCTTCATACCGCACCTGCGACCACAGGCCATCTCCTCCAGCGCCGCATCTGCGCCCAAATGCTCGCTTCTGCGAGCTCGCACCTGCGGGCAATCTTGCACAGGTGCGATTGCACTAGAACTGGTGCACTTCAGCCATTCTCACAAGCCCAAATTCAATCCGTTAACCACCCGGAATTCACCCGAGGCCCCCGGGACCTCAACCAATTACACCAGCAAGTCCTAAAATATCATACAAACTTAGTCGAACCTTTAAATCACATCAAACAACGCTTAAAATACGAATTGCATATTGATTCAAGCTTATTGAACTTTAAAATTTCAAACTTGTACATCCGATGCCAAAATCTATCAAATCTGATTGACCTCAAATTTTGCACACAAGTCATAATTGACATTACGGACCTACTCCAACTTCCGGAATCGGAATCCGACCCCGATATCAAAAATTCCACCCCCAGTCAAACTCTCCATAAATCATCAAATTTTCCAACTTTCGCCAATTCAAGCCTAATTCCACTGCGGACCTCCAAATCACCCAACGGAGCTAACGGAACCCTCAAAACTCCATTTCGGAGTCGTTTACACAAAAGTCAACATCCGATCAACCATTTCAACTTAAGCTTTCAACCTTGAGATTAAGTGTCTATATCATTCCGAAATCTCTTCGGACCCGAACCGACTACCTCGGCAAGTCACATAACAGTTATAAAGTATAAAATGAGCAGTAAATGGGGGAATGGGGCTACAGCTCTCAAAACGACCGATCGGGTCGTTACAAAGATGGGGGCTATTTATAGTTTTTAAAAGGTTAAAATTATAAATTATTAATTATTAGGGGTGGGGGCTATTTTCTTAAGGGGTAGGCTGAAATGGCCAAAAATGCAAAAAAAGGTTGTTGCCCAACGTCGAAAAAAAATTTATAACGGTAACCGGGCTGTAACCCGGTAAAAATGCGGTAGTGGGTAATCGGGTTAACTTGGTTCCGGGGCAACGGTTACCAAAACAGGCCCGCCCCCGTCCGACTACACCCCTAACCCTCCCCAACCTGTCCCACCCCCTAGAAGACCGGGCTGAACCGGGTTGAAGCGGGTTGACAATGGCCTGGCACGACCCGTTTAACATGTTTAAGTTTAATGAACAATTTATAAAGAAAACAATAATTCTTAATTTGCAACTTGTACAATGTACTGCTTATGATCACGTGTCTTTCCGGCTAATATATGGACAACGACGTTGGAGCTTCAATACCTCCAATTTTAAAGATTGAGTTAAGATTTTAGATAGTGTAGCTACGCCAAACGGCAAACCTATAGCACTACTTTCTGTGGCGATTACCAGCAGTCGCCACGAATATCATCAACGAAAACTTTATTTCCTGTAGCGCTCTAACAACACTAACAAACATGAAAGTGAGATGTTGAAGAAAAGTAGATGGTTCTTTAAAGTATTACTTTTCTCATGGAAAATATTGGCTAATCCAATGTATTTTTGTTTTTATTTTATTTATTTTACATATAATTTTTATTAAAACTTTTAGTCAAAGTTTGGACCAATATGAATGTGCATCCCCCCTGTTGTATTGTTACTATTATTTTATTATTAGATTAAATAAATGCGCCAGAATATATATGAACATACATCCGTAATTTTAGTGGCGACTATCCGGGTCGCCACAAATAGTCGTCATCTGAATAGGTCGTCAGACCAAGTGAAGATCTATGAGTATTTGGTGGCGACTTTATGAGTCGCCAAAAAAAGTTTGCACCTAAAATTGTATAATTTTAGTAGAAAGATCGTCAGTCCAAAGGGCGACCTATATAAATACTTTTGATGGCGACACTTTCTGTCGCTAAAAATAATCGTCACCTACAAACTTTAATTTGGAACATAGAAAGCGGCAGTGTAAAACGCAACCGATATGAGCACTTTGGCGACTCATTTCGTCGCTACAAATAGTCATCACCTAAAAAAATTTAAATTTTATTGGAAGATAGAAGGTATTGGAAGATAGAAGGTCGTCAGTACATAAGGCGACGTATACAAAGTACTTTTAGTGGCGGCTCTGTACGTCTCCCAAATAGTCGTCACTAAAAACGTTTAATTTTAGAAGATAGATAGATCGTCGGTCGAAAAAGCGTCGCGACTCTGTAGTCGCCACAAATAGCCGTCACCTAAAAACTTAATATTTAGAAAAGGTCGTTGGTCAAAGGCGGCCTATATTACTACTTTTGGTGGCAACTTCTTGGGTCGCCACAAATAGCCGTCACCTAAACTTTAATTTTTAGAAGAGGGAGGATCGTCGTACCTTTGTGGCGACATGGCCACAAATAGTCGCCACCTAAACACATAAATTATATGGGTTACTTTAACTATCTTCAAACTAATTCAATTGTAAAAGAAAAATAATAAAATAGCTTACTAGTACTATAATAAAATCATAAATTTATGACGGACCGATCCGTCACTGAAGGAGGAATTTAATTATAAGTTTAAATTGCTCAAACTTTTGGATTCCATTAGGTCACTATATCAAAGTCTCAATATGTGTATAAATAATTTATGAGGTAATACGACAATGGAGTTTTGTCTGCTGACTTTGAAACTAAAAAGTCTTCTCACAAGTTAACATTTATATTTTAACGTACTAGGTGGTGTTAGCACGGCCCAATATTATAAAAGTTAGAAGTATTACTTATTAACTTTTTTATGCAATGGCAGAGGAGAAATAGATGCATGCAAATGTGTACCAACTCAAGATATAGACACCATCACATAACTTTATTTTGGTACGAAATGGCAGAGAAGAGAGACAGGATATATATGACCATTACAATAAAGTATGACCAAATTATAGTAGTTTGACAAAAGATAGTAAGTATTATGTACAATCTTTCTAGTGTCTTTACATAAACTTGGAAGTAGCGAAAACAAAAATATATCCTTTAGCATGTTTACAAGTTTTGAAGATGCAGCAAATAGAAGCAAAGCAATGGTGAAGTAGTAAGAAATAGTATCATAATCGGCATCTAACTTTTCCCTATATTTTTTTCTTCATCCTTTTCCCCAATCATCTACAATAAAATTATTATGCGTTTAAGTTTTAGATGGTTCTCAATTTTTTAGGAATTTTATTTTCTATGTGATCTCTAAGGGTATATTTTTTTCTGGAAGGGATGAGAACCTCATTGTTTGTTCTTCTTTTTTGCTTTTTATTTTTACTGGGAAAGGAAGAAGCTTCTCATTTTAAGCCAAGTAATACTAATATTTTGCTCCCAGAATAGTGTTGTCATTCATTGCTCAATAGTTTTGAAGTTCTTATGTTGATACTTTAAATGACAAGAACTATTTCAAGGGTTCTGCTTAATTGGAATTTGGAAGTTTCATATATGAAGCTGACACCTCTATGAAAAATTAAAAATTTGCTATAATAAATTTCTAAAATCACAAAGGTCAAAATAATGCTTACCTTTATATTCTTCTTCATATAAGGCACAATCTTCCATTTACATGTGCCCAACTCTTCCCGAAAATTCATTAACAACGGCTTTCTGTGCATGCATCGTAAGTGAGAACCGGTTGGCCAGTCAGCACTTCTTTACATTATGTGATAGAAAATTAGCATTGCCCTGTTTAACGGAAGTCACAAAAGGAAAGTTAAACACATAAATCAGATAATGCACTTGAAACTTCTCAATATTTTTTGCACTTTTACCTCTAGATAGAACGAATACACCGACAGAACAGTGAGTACTGCTAACGATCCAATTCATTTGAAAATTTTCAATTGCGCATCTTGGCAACGACAATCCAGTCCAAGCTTATGCAGCCGGTGAATTTGGCTCGGAGTATGCGATTAGACTTATCCTTTGCATTTACCAGGATAGTTTGCAAATAGGAAGTGCTCCTGTTGATATATACTTTATCAACCATCATCATCCAAATCAGAAGCAAAAGCATAATTGAGCCTAAATAAAATTTTAACAACTGGAAGAGTAGTACCTTCGATGACTCAGCCACCAAATCCAAAGCAGTTAGTGCTCCTTCTTTGCACCATTTTTTTCCATTCTGCACTTTAAACAATATCGAAGAACAGGAAAAATACACGCGTATACTTGACGCATGTTGTACTTGCTACAAGCTTAAGATCAAGTTGAATATAGATATGCCCTCATTTTTTAATTTTTCTCAGTCACATACAAAAAATGATAGATGTATCTATATCCTTCTCAGCGGCAGATCCACAATCTTAAGATCAAGTTGAAAATTACATGACAACTTTTGTGGTGATCAGTTAAGTTGCTCTACAGTGCTCGCTGGAATTCAGCATGTATATTGCCATTCTTTTGATCTATCATCTTGTTAAATAACATTTAAATGGTGCCTTCAAGAAAAGAACTGATGACAGAAATTTATCCTTCTATCACTGCTGCAACACCTGATGATATACTGCTTATTTTGTGTCCTTTGCACTCATATGAGAAGAATACCCAATATTCAAGCATTTCACTATTTAGCTTCTCCAGAAACTGTTAAATAGATTACATGTCATTATTTAAGGTTTGATAGACTTATAGTTATGTCATACCTGCAGAAGTACAAGCAGTTTGATAACTATTCCATTTAAGGGTCAAACCTCCGGGGTGCGGCTTTCACCGAAGTTGAGGACATCTGATGCAGCATATGCCTAAATTGATGCTTTTTAATATCTGATTACTCCATCTGTCACAATAAAAATCAAAAAAAAAACGACCAAACTGTGAGTTTTCATTTTTCTTCCAAGAGAAATGATTTTTACCTTTAATCAGATCAATTTTGTAAACCTACAGAAATAGGAAAGTATGCTAACTTGGCTTTTTAATAATACTGGTTAATCATTAGAGTTCTTCGTACTTAAAGTTCCTCTATCATATAGCTTTATAAGAGTTTAAGATCTTTACTCTTTTTTCTGGTATAAAATCAAAAGTATGATAAACCACTTCCATTGATAGACTCTTTAGGCAATACCTAAAAAATAATATAGATAAAGTAGCAGTTGAGTTAAGTGTAATTATTCTCTTGATAAATTTTGATTTTTTCATTCACCTAACTTTGAATACTCAAACATTTGGTTCAGTGTTCATATTTAGGAGTGACAAGGGCCACAATAAATGAAACAAAATATGAAGGGGAAAAAAAGTGATTGTCCTTCTGAGGTGGAGACCTTGAGGTTAAGTTGTATCTTTTTAATGGTGGATATAGTTTACAGTTCAGCCAATAAAAATGCAGACTTTGTGGATAGTGAAATATAGGAGATGCCAAGTTGTGACTATCAGTGGCTTGACCTTTTTAGATCTAAAATAGAACACTTTCTTTAGTTTCTTTGTTCTTTTCGTTCTTCTTTTACTCTCTTTCCTCATCATTTACTCTATAAAATCAGTTCCTCACATCTCATAATCAAAGAAATGAAAGTAATAATTTTAATTTTGTTCATATCAACCTTGTCTTTCTTATTTTATTTTAGCTTTTACATTAAAATCTGAAGTTACAGAGACGAACCAAACCAATTTTTATAAAAGACTATAATGGATTGTTTTTATAAAGAAGACTCATAGATTATTGAAGCTTACGTTCATTAAAAGAAGGGCCCCAAGGACTGCAGGGGCGGAGCTAGCTCTATGTTTACGGGTTCGGCCGAACCCACAGACTATGTATTTGTCTTGTGAAATTCACGGAATATGTACAAATTATTAGTTTAGAACCTAATAACTTAAAAGAACTAGAATCCCGAACCCATAAGTTTCAAATCTTGGCTCCGTCTCTGCCAAGTAGTTTCACGGAACACCTTAGGGGTCGTTTCATTCAGTTAGGAAAAAATTTGAAACTTAGTAGGTACTGGGAAAATGCTATTTCACACTTTGTTTCTTCAACCTATCAGAAAAATATGAATTACATTGACCCAAGCATGAAGTGAAAAACTCAATTGTAATTTAGTTATTTTCAAACGTACTCAAAAAGCCGGAAAAGGTAAAAAGCACAAAATAAGAAAGACTATAAGGTTCAAAACAATGAGTAGACATAAAAAAAAAAAAAAAAATATTCGGCCAAGACATTATCCAAGATCTGAATCAACCCACTATGACTTTTAATAGTTTAGATTTCTTTGCATTCAACACAAAGCTATACATGCAAACATACTGGATAAATTAGAAGAAGAACTTAAATATGAAGAAGTACAAACCTGACAAAGATATTTTTACAAAAATGGCTGAAGGCGTCTTCAAGCACATGCTCTGTAACTGATAATCCTATGACATTTAGATTTGCAATAAAAATTGGTCCTTTTCATGGTTTTCTCCACGCTCTTCCATAACGAAACTCTGAAATAATTGAACAGAATACTAATCAATTTTGTACAGCAAAAAAATCTTAGAATTCAATTGAGTTGAAATCAAATAAAATTGACCTTGGGTTGAGCACAAGAGAGATAAATTGTTCTGTACTTCTGTATTGGGAGTGAAATTCCCAAGAGAAATCAGTAAGCAAGACCAAAGAGAGGGAAAACCGATTAGCAGACTCAAGCCTAAATTTCACAAATTGTTATATAAGTATGACTTTTTTTTTCATATAATTTTATTTTCTCACACAAAAATCATAAAACTTACTCTAACTCAAACAAAAATCATAGTCGTAAAAAAATAAATTTTTCGATAGTATTTTCTTTTTTTATATTTTTCTATTTTTTATTTTTAGTCTAATAAATAATTAAACAATTAAAATAGGAGAAATATAAGTATATTTTAAGCCGTTTCCAAAAATAATAGCCGATAAAATATGTATAATATACAAATTTTATATATATTTTGGCTAGCAAGTGCAAGTAATTTCGGTCGGCCGATTAATTTTATATTTTTTCCTTAAAATAGTAATGACCCAACCCAACCTGACCCATTACTCATATACATAAGTTAAAATAATACTAAAAGTAAATTCTTCCCCATAAGAAACTTAGTTCAGAATGCATGAGATTCTCACCAAAAAAAAAGGAAATAAAAGATATAATTAGAGAGCACTTGAAATAAAAATGCTATCGATTTGAATAAAAATCTTGAAAAGAAAAATAAAAGATAGAAGTATTATGTTTTGAAGGATTTACTATTCACTTTTAGTATTATTTTAGTTTTTATATATGAGTATTGGGTCGGGTGGGCCAGGTCGGCTTGGCTCGTCCCTATTTTAATTTGATTATTATTTATTAGACTGAAAATAAGAAAATAAAAAATCACAAAATAAGAAAATACTACTAAAAAATTATATTTTTTAATCACTATGATTTTTGTGTGAGTTAGTAAAAGTTTTATGATTTTTGTGTTAGAAAACATAGTTATATAACTTTAGTGGAAAAAATTATAGTTATATGATCATTTATAAAATTTACCCTACGTAAGCGATAAGATTATGCGGTGGGTAAAGGAATAAAAGCCACGTAGAATAACAACTTTTAAAAGACAAATACCCTCAACTTGGGTTAAGCTGACAGGTCGAAACCTGATCTTTTCTATTATATAGAAAAGAAATATATAAACACACAACCAAGAATGTTTAAGTCTAAGTCAAACCACTTCCAAATGGAGTATAAATTTTCACAAGTTCAATTTCTTATTGTAAGCACACGTAGAAACGAAACAACCTAAAAGTGGCGCCTGAGTACTAATCAGAAATTCATTATATGCGACAATAAATTCATTCTCAAAATTTGAACCCGAAACTTCTGATTAAGAATATGAAGTACTATCGACCACCCCATCACAATTTTGGTGATAATGTAGTTTGGAATTGCTATATACCAGCACAACTTTCTTTTAACTTCTTTTTTTTTTAACCCACGCGCATATGCTTTTACCACTAGAGCAAAGCTCACAGAAAAAATTGAAATTCTTCCTTCTCAATTAGTGAGTGCAGAAAGATGATGCTATTTATCAGGATTTATTTTTTTCAAGTAATACTTCTATACATTTATATTACTTTCACACACCTCTCTAAGACTTTGTAACGTACGATCAGTTCGTTGAATATAAGATTAATAATATCTAAGTTTTGGGGGAACGGAGAACTCACTCAAGAAGTACTAAACACAATTACAAAATGAAAGGGTAAGTTTTGCACCATTTGAAATTCTCTTCTTTTTCTGAATTTCAACCATGTTTTGTCTTCACGATTGGAACAGTCTACAGCTAGCACACAACAATCCATGATCATCTTTTAACATGCTATGATAAGCAAATAGACAGTTTTACTTCAACTAAAATAGGATTTTGAAGATGCACCAAAATAATTTGAATAAGGATTGAAGATGTAACCATTTTTCCTATTATACATGGAGTCCCGTTAGCAACTATCTATGCAAATAACCAAAAAAAAAAAGAAGAGAGATGATCTTTGTTCCATCAGCAGAAGGTTTAAATTTTGAGAAAATAATTCTCACACCAACAATCTGGAGAAGAAGAGCATACAAAGCTATACACATTGGGAAATTTCTAGTTCTCACTTCTAGCATCGGTTCCTTTTCAGGTACCTTCGTTTGCATTCTTGCTTGTCAGAACCAGGTAACATAGTTACAGTGCAACACCTCAATTTTTATATCACCACTCGTCATCAAGACTGGCACGATGAAAACACAGAACTGTGCAGGCAAATATGAAGAACGACACAAATTCAATGAACATTGCTCCTGTCTGGATCAGATCAGCATGTCTGAGAATAATGGGGATGGCTATGCTTCCCACAGCTGATGCCCCTGTTAAGAATTTAGCAGCATCCATCCAGCTGCAAAGACCAGGAAAAGAAGGTGTGATAATGAGAAGGATTTATTGGGAGTCACAAAACAAAAGATAAGCAGAAACAAGAAAGGAGGTCGTCATAAAGTAAAACATAAAATCATAGAAACTCAATCTTCCACAGGACCCAAGATAATAGCCACCAGCAACTACAACAACTAAACCTTAGTACCAAGCAAGTTGGGATTGGCTATATGAATCCTCGCAAACTATTACTCCATTTAAACTCATCTCATGCCAATATTATAAAAATGCAAATTAAAATAGTAGAAGTTCTCTATATTTTCAATATGTAAAAATCTCTGAAAGGATAAACTACTCCTAAAAGGCATAGAACCTGATGTTTGGCTATAAATCTATAGTTTTAGTGCGTAACTTACCTTACATTTTAGTACTTTAATGATTAATTGTGCGATGTTTGAGCTTAATTAAGGTGTTTTTATGTGTAGGATCATTGGAATACATAAAGGAATGAAAGTTGCACAAAAAGATGTTGAAGACACAAGAAAAGAGCACGAACAGGAGAAAATCGGAATAAGGCAAGGGTACCGCGCCCCAGACCAGGCCTCACCTGATCTAAAGCCTGCTCAACCGCGCCCCAGACCATGCCTCACCTGCTCTCAAGCATGGTCCCCCAATCCGCGAATAAATTGGTTTCTACTCAATTATGGACTTGGAGACTCCCACCATAGCCTATAAATACATCCTAAACGTGATTATTAAGGAGGTTGGATGTTTTTTAGAGAAATTTTTGACGAAGGGAAAGCACAGAGCCGTCATGGAGGCCGGGTTTCATCTTTTCTTCCTCCAAACTTAGTAATATTTTATGTTTCTTGGGATGATTTGTTGTTTGGCTACCATGTTTATGTGGAGCTAAACTTCACGTTCTAGGGTTGTGGTTCTTTCATGATTATTGTTATTCGAATATTGATTTTGATTTCTTAGTTTATCGTATTGATTTATTTATTCAATCATGTGCTTAATTATTTGATTATTTGATCACCAATTAAATACTATCTACGAATCTAGAGTTCTCGAAAGTGGGAATTCTAGATTGCACATAGGATTGAGTAGAGCAAGTTCTTGAACCCCGGCATCGGGGAACGGATTCGCGGTTAGGATAGGCATATGATAATTGTCTTGCTTGGTTATTATACGGGAATTGTAAATGCATTCTTGTTGATTCTAACTCTATAGACATATAGGTGCTAGATTAGCTTGAATAGGTGAGTAAAAGATCGACATATTCTTATGAGCAATATTAACCATGTTAACGAATAAACCAGATAAATTAATTAGTTAATTCAATTGAAAAATACAATAGGATTGTTAGATAGCCCATAATCGTAGATCGTTTTCATCGCATTGATAACATAAAAATCTACTCTTCCTTCGTTCAGAGTTCACAATTTATTTTTCTTTATTTTAATTAGTTTAGAATCAAATACTTCTAGGTTTACTTCTTGTTTAGATAATTAGGATAGTCAAATTTAGTTAATAGTTAATCACAAGTCCTCGGGGTTCGACATCCGACTTTTAGTCACTTTATTACTTGACAACCGCATATACTTGCATGTGTGTTTGGCCGCAACAGAACCCACAATAAAAATCTATTATGTTTAAAACATATTCTCAACTAATGGGCATCTCCTATATAGATTTTTTCCCTTCATTGTGTCTATCTTTCGCTAAGTTCGCAATGTATCTGTGAGAATGCACGGGAGAACAATCGTATTAATATTTGATACTCAATACAATACAAGAGGTCCTTATTTATAGCTATACTCTACAAGGACATATTACTCTTATTCCAATGTGGGACAAGACTACATTATGTACATATCTGTAAACTAACACTCTCCCTCAAGCCGGTGCATACAAATCATATGTACCGAGCTTGTTACATATATAACCAATACGAGAATCAGTGAGGGACTTGGTGAAAATATCTGCAAGCTGATCATTCGACCTCACAAACTTTGTAGCAATCTCTCCTGAAAGTATCTTTTCTCTGACAAAGTGACAATCAATCTCAATATGTTTAGTTCTCTCATGGAACACCGAATTCGATACAATATGAAGGGCAGCTTGATTATCGCACACAAGTTCCATCTGACTGATTTCACCAAATTTCAACTCCTTGAGAAATTGTTTGGTCCAGACTAGCTCACATGTTGCCATAGCCATTGCTCGATATTCTGCTTCTGCACTAGACCGAGCAATTACATTCTGTTTCTTGCTCTTCAAAGATGCCAAATTTACTCCCACTAAAACACAATATCCAGACGTAGAACGTCTATTAGAAGGTGATCCTGCCGAATCAGCATCTGAGCATCCAACGATCTGCTCATGACCTCGATCCTCAAACAGTAACCCTTTGCTTGGAGCCGATTTTATATACCGAATAATGCGGACAATTGCATCCAATGACTATCATATGGAGAATTCATAAAGTGACTTACAACACTCACAGAATAAGAAATGTCAGGTCTAGTCACTGTGAGATAATTTAATTTACCAACCAGCCGCTTATAACTTGTAGGATCGCTAAGCGGCTCCCCCTGTCCTGGCAGAAGTTTATAATTCGGATCTATCGGAGTGTCAACAGGTCTGCAACGTATCATCCTTGTCTCCTCAAGAATGTCTAAGGCATATTTTCTTTGAGAAATAACAATACCTGAGCTAGATTGAGCAACCTCAATACCTAGAAAGTACTTCAATCTACCTAGATCCTTAGTTTGGAAGTGCTGGAAGAGATGTTGCTTCAGATTGGTAATACCATCCCAATCATTGCCAGTAATAACAATATCATCAACATAGACTACCAGATAAACACAGAGACTTGAAGCAGAGTGCCGATAAAACACAGAGTGATCAGCTTCACTACGAGTCATGCCAAACTCCTGAATAACCGTGTTGAACTTACCAAACCAAGCTCGAGGAGACTGTTTTAGACCATAAAGTGACTGACGCAAGCGACATACAAGGTCACGAGACTCCCCCTGAGCAACAAAACCAGGTGGTTGCACCATATAAACCTCATCCTCAAGATCAACGTGAAGAAAGGCATTCTTAATGTCCAGCTGATAGAGAGGCCAATGACAAACCGCAGCCATGGATAGAAAAAGGCGGACTGATGCGACTTTAGCCACGGGAGAGAAGGTATCACTGTAATTGAGCCTAAATATCTTAGTATATCCTTTGGCAACAAGACGGGCCTTAAGTCGATCAACCTGGCCATCGGGACCAACTTTGATTGCATAAACCCAACGACAACCAACAATAGATTTACCTGAAGGAAGGGGAACAAGCTCCGAAGTACCACTTGTTTGTAAAGCAGACATCTCGTCACTCATAGCCTGTCGCCATCCTGGATGAGACAACGCTTCACCTGTAGACTTAGGGATGGAAACCGAGAACAAAGAAGATATAAAAGCATAATGGGAAGATGACAGACGACGATAACTTAAACCGACATAATGGGGATTAGGATTAAGTGTGGTTTGTATACCTTTCCGAAGTGCAATCGGTGTACTAAGGAGAGACAAGTCCGCAGTAGGAGCAGGGTCAGGTGCAGGACGAGAACCAGTTGGGCCTGATGTAGATCGCGGACGACGATGATAAGTCAAGAGTGGTGTTCATGTGGCTGGGAATCTAGGAGGAACAACACTAAACTCCTCAACGGTTGGTATAGGTGAAACTTATGTGGTCGAAGGTGGAGGAGCTATAGTAAACTCTTGAAAGGTATGTATAGGAAAGACCTCAGATATATCATGGTGGTCAGCAGAGGTAAAGAAAGGTTTAGACTCAAAAAATGTGACGTCAGCTGACATAAGGTACCTACAAAGATCGGGGAATAACAACGATATCCTTTATGAACACGAGAATAACCAAGGAAGACACTTGAGAGCATGAGGAGCTAACTTATCTTTCCCAGAGGCTAAGTTATGAACAAAACACGTGCTCCCAAAAACACGAGGTGGAAGAGAGTATAAGGGTGACTGGGGAAACAATATTGAATGCGGAATCTGATCCTTGATAGGAGATGAAGGCATCCGATTAATCAAATAACAAGGTGTGAGAACTGCATCGCCCCAAAAACGCAACGGAACACGAGATTCAATTAGAAGTGTGCGAGCAGTCTCAATAAGATGTCTATTCTTTCTCTCTGCAACCCCATTTTGCTGAGGGGTATAAGGACAAGATGTCTGATGAATAATTCCTTGAGAAGTCATAAACTGCTGAAACTGAGAAGATAAATATTCTAAGGCATTATCACTGCGAAAAGTGCGAATAAAAACACCAAATTGGTTTTTGATTTCAGCACAGAAACTCTGGAATATAGAAAATAACTCAGGACGATCTTTCATTAAGAAAAGCCAAGTACATCTTGAATAATCATCAATAAAACTAACAATAAAACGAAATCCCCAGGTTGAACTGACTCTACTAGGACCCCATATATCATAATGAACTAAGGAGAAAACATATTCTGCATGACTCTCAACACTACGCATAAAGGAGGCTCGGGTATGTTTCCCAAGCTAACACGACTCACAATCTAATGTAGACAAACTAGCTAAACTAGACACCATCTTCTGAAGTTTGGATAAACTCGGACGTCCTAAACGTTTGTGGATTAGGTCTGGAGGATCTGTAACTAGACATGTTGTGGAAGGACTGAGTGAGTTAAGGTAGTAAAGGCCTTCTGATTCACGTCATGTACCAATTGTCTATCCCGTACTGCGGTCCTGCATAATAAAAGAATCGTCAATAAAATATATATCACAATGGAGGGCATGAGTCAAACGACTAACAGATGCAAGACTAAAAGGACAAACAGGGACATTAAGGACGGAATCTAGGGTGATAGAAGACAAGGGATTAGCTTGTCCAACTCCTTTTGCCTTAGTTTGACATCCATTGGCTAAAGTAACAGTGGGAAGAGATTGTGAATATACAATATTCGCCAAAAGTGATATATTACAGAGATGTGATCAGAAGCGCCCGAATCCATGACCCATGGTCCAAGAGTACTAGACTGGGAAACACAAGCAAAAGAATTACCAGCAACAGAAGTATCAGCCTGAGAATCGAGGCTACTTGTGGAGATGTCTGCTTACTTGTTCGATACTGAAGGAGCTCATTATATTCTTTTTTAGATAAAGAAAATCACTAGTTACTTGTAGTCTTGGTCTGAGCAATGTAAGCATTTTTGGGTGGACGACCATGTAAGGAATAGCATATTTCACAAGTGCGTCCAAGTTTGTGACAATAAGAACACTTGGGTCTAGATCTTCCAAAACGAGCTCCTCCTCGTCTATTCTCCCCTGTCTGGGATGCGAGAACAGAGGAATCAAGTATTTGTGATGAGATCACTGGGTGACTTGGTGGTGCAGCAAGGCGGAGTAATCGAGTGAATAATTCATCAACTGTGGGGACAGTCGGACTAGCCAAAATCTAGCCGCGTACTGAATCAAGATCATTAGGAAGTCCAATGAGGGTAAGAACTAGAAACATCTTTTGTCCCTGCTCTTGTTGTTTTTCAAGACTAGCAGAAACTGGCATCAATTTCTCAAATTCCTCCATGACTGTCTGTACTTGACCCAAGTAAGTAAACATATCAAATTCTTGCTTCTTTAAGTTTGTCATCCGCGATATCACATCATAGAAGCGAGATATGTCATTAGTGTATAAGGTACGAGCCTTTGCCCAAACCAAATATCATATCTGGAATGGACGAAACAAGGGCATCAACTTGGAATCAATAGATCGCCATAAGATGCTACATAACTGAGCATCGATCTTTGCCCAAAGCGCTATCGCTTTTTCATCTCATTCGCTAGACTGTTTCACTAGATGATCTTGAGCACCTTGACCTTTACACCACAACTCGACAGATGAAGCCCAAGCTAAGTAGTTTGAACTTCCCATTAAAGGTTCTGAGGTAATCATAACACTAGAGCTTCCAGAACTCATGTTTCTAGACCCAAAAAATCAAATCCCAAAGACATCGTTGCAAATTATTACCAAATAAGAGAAAGAATCAACTGTAATCCACTGAAACAGAGTAAGGAAGCACTGAGACAGAATAAGGGAATATTGTAGTCGTCAGAATCTTACTGTAATTGCCGGAAAAAACTCAAAATGGTCGAAATTTGTTGGGGATAGCACTGGTCGACTCGGGATTGTTGTGCGAGTAAGCTTTCCTAAAGGAAGTTCGTCGGAAAATAGTTGTAAGGGGTCTCACGTGCCCGGCGCGTGAGGGCGCGTAGCTATGAGTTTTCAGGTGGGATTTTCTGGGGTTTGGTCGCGGGACTACGGCGGACCTTGTGGTGGTGGTGGTTTGTTCACAACACTGATAAATAGTGACTTTGACGCAAACAGTCACTTAGGTCACTGGAAAATTACACGGTGACTAAGTTCTTTCTTCACGGATGTCGTTGGAATGACGCACAGCGATCTTTTCTCACTGAAACTCTAATACCATGTGAGAATGCACGGGAGAAAAATCTTATTGATATTAGATACCCAATACAATACAAGAGGTCCTTATTTATAGTTATACTCTACAAGGACATATTACTCTTATTCCAATGTGGGACAAGACTATATTATGTACATATCTGTAAACTAACAGTATCCACAAAGATTATAGATCATTCAGACAACTTACTTCTATGTGAGTTTAGGTCACATCATCTTCTTTTGACGTTTTTAGTCACCATGATCTCACACCTACCGACCAGTGTATCAGGAGGTCGACTAGGACATGACCAAACCAACTCAATGACCTTCTCTTATTTTGCTGACCAAACCATCTCAAGCAACCTTTTACTTCCATGTGTGCTACTTGAACCTTCTTGAGAATGTGATCATTTCTAATCTTGTCGAATATTGTATGACCACGCATCCATCTTGGCATCCACGTAACCATGATACTCATCTTGTGAATGTGTTTAATTTTAATTGCCCAACATTCACCCTCACATAGCATTGTCGGTCTTATAATTGTTTTATAGAACTTACCATTCACTTTGGTAGGTATCCTTCTATCACATAACACCCCAGTAGCACTTTTCTGCCACTCTTGTAGTGTCCCTAAGTCTATGCAATATCACTCTTTCCCGAGTTTCATCATTTGACTCATAAGTTTAATATAATAAAAGTCCGTACAACTTTGAATGTCTCCATTTCTTTATAATTGGGGATAAGGGTAATCTTTCTCCACTTATCGGACATCCTACCACTTCTTAGTACAGCATGAAATAGCTTGGTAAGTCATTTTACTCCAACCTCTGCAAGACACTTTCAAACTCTACGGCAATACCCTTTAGGGACCACAAGCGTTCTGATCTTCATATTTTTCACGGCATCATTCACCTATGTCGGCCTAATTCCAGGAGAGCTAATGTTTTTATCGAGCACATATGTTTGGAGATCTAGAATATTATATTTGTGATTCAAACATCTGATTCAATCTACTTAAAGCATCATGAATAAAACAAATAAAACAATTTACTTAGAGATTTACCATCTCACGCGACCCTTTCTCATTTTATCCTCAACTTATGCATACTTGAACCTTCTCACAAATTTGGTCATTTCTACTCTGGCCTAGTCTTGTATGACCGCATCTCAATCTTAGCATTCTTATTGTTGTGACATTCAACTCATTCAAATGCAAATAGACTCAACAAGTCACTATCCTTGTGGCATAATCTTTTCAAAAGTTTGCTTTCTTCAAGGCTCCTTAGCACCAGAAAAAAGCCATTTTTTCTAACAAAAGAATCTTATTAATCAATAAGATAGAAATTGTATTCATCAATTTCCTAACAAATTGAACTCAGGAAATGGCACTACACCTGAACGAGTAGTAAAAGAGAAAAATAAAGAACAAATTCACATGCCTTGCTTTTTTAAACTCCCTTGTTCATATGATGCATGTCATAACAATAGTTTCTTTCTCAAAATTCATCCTAATATCGGCCCCACCAATTACATGGTACTTCATTTTTGATAAATTGGATGGCTTTAATAGTTTAGAAGACACAATGATTAATTCTAAGAGCAACTCAACCTCTAGCAGAACTTATCCCATCATCGGTTGTAGCTAGGTTAAACCTTTTGCAATATTAAGGCCACAAGCAGTTGCACACTAGCGAACTAGAATCATACCACTCCCTCTGTTTCAATAGTGAACCTATTTCTACTTTGGTCTGTTTTAAAAAAAATGACCCCTTTCTAATTTTGAAAATTAATTAATTTAAACTTCTTATTTTCCCCTTAATGAGAAGCTTGTATAGCCACACAAATGTTAATGGCATATTTAAATCACAAGCTTCAAAAGTCTTATAACCAAATAAATGGTTTGGCATGTTTAAGATCACAAGTTCCAAAAGTCTATTTTTCCTTCTTAAACTCTGTGCCTAGTCAAATAGGTTCACATAGATTGAAACGGATGGAGTATCCTTTATGACTGCCTCATAACCTCATTCCATTTCATTTCATGCCATCTTCCAGCAGTCCAACATTAGGGTTAAAAAGCACTTTCCCCAATGAATAGGTTGCACCTCCTTTGCAAGTTTATTTTAGCAGAAGACTTAATCTTCCAATTCTTTACTACCTACCGTAGTTAGAAGGCCATTTTCAAAAAAATTCTCGAGTCACGTGGTTTTTCTCCTCGTAAGACTGACAGATCATCCCTCAAAAGAGTACAACTGAGGCGGGATCTCAATTTTGAGTGGATACAGTTCATTTCAGACCAGATACGTCACATGTGCTCGTTATCCCGTACCACTAACCATTCGCTCCAATACGTAAATGTTTACCATACGAAAATTAACTGTATCAATGCAGCAGCACTAACATGAAGCAATTTTTGACAGAAAGACAATCTCCAAAAAATGAAGGGATTGGCCAAATTAGCAACCACCAAATCCTACTTATATAAGCAGCGTCTCAAGTAACTCAATATAGCACGTCTAGTACAGCAATATTCATCTAATTAGTATGATATCACAAATCTTCCTCAAGAAAGAGGTGAATTGAGGGATTTTTTATTTTTTATTTTGAGTAAGGTAACAATTCTGCTATGAGTGAGGGATGTACGAGCATAAAATAAGAAGTCATATAGATCTCTCAGACTTTAAAGTGAACATGATCTAGAACATCCACTTAAGAGATGGATGGAAAATACTAGAACAAACCATGACTAATTTGAGAGGATTGCAACTGACGGGGGCTGGCTAATGAGATACAGTAACCCCCCACCCACCCACCCCTAAAAAAAACCCTTTATTCAATATCAAAAAGGCATAGTTTATTCTCAGTTTCCATAAGTAAAAAACGCAATTCCTATAGCAGTATGTAATAAAATCTAAGAGAGGAGATTCAAGAAGCTTTTGCACATTTTAAAAGTATCTTACCCCCCGCCATCTCGACTTATTAGGAACTGTGTGGACCCACCACCAAAGAATAAGCACGGCATGGGAACCAGAACATACATAAGAGCTGTGAAAACCAAGTAAACTTCTTAGTTAGCAAACAATTAGAGCTAACTCTGCTTACAAAAAGCAGAAATAAGACCACGGTAAGTAGCTCACACTTTGACAAACCTGATAACATTGGCCACCAGTTGTTATATATAGCACAAGCCTACAAGAAACAATATGCAGCAAAAGCATGACAATTAACTCTCTTGATAAGACCAAACCAAATCCAAAGACACTGTTAACTTTAAAAAATAGATTAGATGCACAATAAATAAACAGAAAAATCCTCTTGCACACACACACACACACACATATACACACATATATTGGTAATGTGTGGTGGAGGGAAATCACCGGCATACAAGGGGTATAAAAAAAGTAGATAAACTTACGCAACAATTGAACTTATAAAACTACACAAGCAAATACACTACATTCATTGGTACTTGCACAGACATTGGAAATACAGAGGCACACTCATCACGCAGGAAAATATTTATAAGGACCTACCAGGATCTGTAACAAGATGCTGGAAGAGAACATGAAGGCAAGCCCCGCAAGCCTGGATCAGACATTATATCAGAAAACAGTCGACCAGAAATATAGACCAAAGGCCATTATTAGTTGAATCACTTACACTTTATCCGAGAAGTGAACACCAGCAATTGAACCATAAAGATGACACAAATGACCAGAAGAAATCAAGTTAGTAATGGTATGAACATAATGAAATTCGACAAATTAAAAGTTACTGAAGCTACATGGAATTAAAAAATATGCTCAAAAAGCAATTATTTTAATGATACCATCATTTGCAAATAGAAAATCCAAAGAGAAAAATCAAGTAAACAAAGCAATGCCCCTCTAAATTCAGCATGGTGTAGCCTGATAGACCCAGTTTTACCTTGTAGCTTCAGGGACAGTAAAACGAGTAGACTAATTAATTAGAATGTTTTCAGCAAACAAGTAAACATGCTAACTTGCAAGTACACTAGTTAGTTTGGAATTGATTAACTACAAATGAGTATCAAGGTCTCAATAGAAGTCAGAGTAGAAGTAGTCATAGTCCACGATCCATAGCCACATGCAGGTTGTACAGACAAATGGCAGAAGCAGTCATCACACACTAGAGGATGAAACATATAACATCCAAATAGTGCAACTTTAAGTTCAGAAATTGTAAGTTTAATTTCAGCAGCAAATTGAAGACACACTTTGGATTATATCGTTATGATGTGATGCTCTCATCTTGCTATGTCATTAGGCTTACCCAGGATAAAACCTGACATATTTTACCAGTTCTTTATCTTTTTCCTCTCTTCTCTATCACCATACTTCCCATTTCCGCCTTATTTTTTTCCTTTTTAAGTGCTGCTTTAACAGAGCAGAACTGTAGAAAGTAACATGAACAATGTGATAGAATAATTCTCCATTCTACATCTGCTTGAATGATACAATGCTACTTGGTCAAATTTTAGTGCAAAATGATTTCTGAAAAAAGACTCAAGACTTAAGCTTTGACTAAAAACAATTCAATTAAACATACTATAAGCTGCCAGTGAAGCCCAGAATTGAAGATATAATAAGAATTCTATTACCAGCAACAAGCAAAGATGGACAAAAAAAAAAGGAAACTTCTTGAACCGTAAGCTCAAATGTTAATCAGAAGTATTTCAGCTGTAATAGAGTTATTAAATAATTCAAAAAAGTAGAATTGGGTCATTTTTATTCATCCACAAAAGAACCCCACCAATTTTCTTATACAACAACTAGAAACAAACACTGAATAATAAAACTAAAGAGAAAAAATGAATAAATCAATTATAGGTTTATTGCTAATTGAGAACTGAAATTGGCGAGTAAGAAATTGTACCTTCAATGGTCATCGCCATTTATGGCAAATCTTAAAGGGGCAAAAGAGGAAGGAAATCTGATTTTCTTCAACTGAAACAATGGGAAGACCTCGCACTCAAATTTGGGCTTGTAAATTTGGCTGCAAATTTATTTATTAAGGAGATCCTCACTCAAGTTTGGGCTTGTAAATTTGGCTGCAAATTTATTTATTAAGGAGATCCTCCCACTTTATTGTTTTGTCGCTTTGTGCTCGAATGTATGAAAGTTCATTTAAAGGCCCCAAATGGAGTTTTACTTTTGCCAACTCCACTTCGTAAGCGATACTTCACACCTATGCAATTGGGGGAAATAGTAGATGCACTCCTTTTTTGCTCGATTTTTTGTGCCTTTGATTCTTTGAATATGGTATTTTCCTTCTTTTTCCTTTTTTATCTTTTTCTATAGTAGGAGAAAGTAAAGAGCGAGATTATTTCGAAAAATTAAATCCTGGAACTAACTAATGATTCTAATGTCTATTAAGATATATTAAATTTGATACAATAGGAAGCACACGAAGTTTATCTTCTACTAAGAAATCAATCCAATTATAACTTTCACTTCTATTAGATATATATAAATGTAATTTTTATGTTAGTTGTATTTTTCATCCCTTTTTTATCTAATTTATGCGTTAAGCATCTTCATTATTAATTACTTCATCACATGCTTTTAGAATTTGGGATATGTTATATGTTTGGAGCCAAATGAATGAATTGGTATCGAGGATATGCAAAAAGAAGGTATGTTATTTATGAAACATATATTTAAAATAGTTTTAAAAAATAATATAAATAAGAAGGAAAAATGAGTGTTATAGTTGGGTCATCACTAACCAACTCTCACACAAAAAAATGACAGAAAATTATATATGTGTTACAAAGACGATGAAGCATTTGAAGTTAACTTTTAAATTAGGCTATCTTGTTATAAACGTTAAAGTATGTAATTGTAAGACATAAAAATTGACCACCGGTATCGGAGTGGTGAACCATGATACCTCAATACCAATCAGAGTTATGTAATCACAAGACATAAAAATCGACAAGCAATTCTTAAAACTGAATTATACTGGAAACATCCCGAATAACCTCTTCAAAATGCAACTCCTAACCGATACCATCTATTACAAAGAAATTGGACGTAGGATCAACGAAAAAAGTGAAGGAACTTTGCCACCTTAGATTGCACAAAAGTGTAATTACTCGATCCACGCCACAATACCTTAACTAGTGACCCTAATACACATGACTCTTGAATTGTTCAATCAAAATATCATTAATCAAATAATTCTCTAGGAGATTCACGTCACCATTTGTTTCGTACTCCAAAAGGCAACAACCGGGGAAGGTCCTAACATTTATAAGAGGTCGAGCATTTTTTGTCATGATAATGACAAATAATTTTTTCACAACATTATTATATCTTATGAGATGAATTAGAGTTAGGAGATAATGGTAATACTTGTCAAATTAAAGGTGTGTTGATTGTGGCACTTTTCTAGAACAATTTGTTGCTAATATAAATGGTCAAGCAAATATTATTCTCCAATATATTGGACTAGTGGACCAGCACTATTGTCGTAACACCCAAATAAAGGCTCGAACTAAGGCAATAGAACGAGAAGCTTCAACTATGTCCATAATTTTTGTTGGTGATAAACTCTAATAGAGTTTTATAAGTTATCAACAATAGTCATTTATAGTAGCTTGGCTAAACACCACTTGGTGTACCAAACTTCATTTTGAAATAGGCTAAAAAAATCTAAATAAAATACTCCCGCTCAACTAATTTATTGTTGTGATACATATTGTAACACCCCCGAAAAATTTTGAAGTATTTTAGTGTAAAGCCCCATAAATTTCGCAAGTGAATTCAAGGTTCCGTGGTGCCGGAGTAGGCTTACGTGTTTGAGGATGGTATAAAATCTTCGCAGCGAGCTTGCGAGCCACGGTTCGGACTTTTTGGGTTGAACAATGCACCGGAAAGTAAAGAAAAAAAATTGACGGAAAAACGCATTTATGCGGTCCATTATGCGACCGCAAAACCACTGTGCGGGTCGCATAATGGCCGCAAAAGTGAGCAGGAGAAGGGCAGTCTAGGGGCAATTATGCGGTCGACTATGCGACCACATAACTATTATGCGGTGCATTATGCGATCGCATAACAGTTATGTGGACCGCATAGTGACCGCATACACAGACATATTTTTGATCGTTTTGGTTTGTAATTATGCGACCAATATGCGGTCCGCATATCCATTATGCGGTCGCCTGTTTCGGAACTCCATTTTTGGGTCCTTACAACCCGACCCTACTTCGTTAAATACACGCAAATGGTCATTTTTGAGCAAAAATTCTGATGTTTTAGAGAGAAGGGAGAGTCTTTTAGATAAAGAGGAAACCCTAAGCTAATTATTCAGCAAGTCTTGCTCAAATCTTGGAAGATTAACAAGAAAAACCTACAAGTTCTTCATCTAAGAGGTAAGGTGTCATACCCTAATTTTCAATTTTGAATTTGGATAGAAGATGGTTGATTAGGAGTACGATTCATGGGTATGAGATTATTATTTATACGTGCATGTACCAATAAGAATTATGAGAAGATTGTTGAGCTGAAATAAGTAAAGATTGGGTTGTGGAGTGAATGAAATCTTGTAGAAAAATCTTGTGGTTAAGTTTGCACACCTAGTGTCTCATAAAATGCTCAAATGAGCTGAGACCAGGAATATCTTCCTAATTACGGTTTAATTTTGTTATGTCTCAAAATAGATCGGGATTGCTAAGAATTCCGAATCATTCTAGAGTTAAGGAAGCTCAATTGAGGTATGTTGGCTAAACTTTCTCTCTTGGAATTGAATTCTATAATGTTTCTGTAAGTTTCAAAATATGGGTTGCGTATTAAAAGGTTATGGCTTTAAGTTGTGTTTCAGTGAAAGATAGTATGCCAGATTGTGTGAGAAAATCTCAATATTCTTAAAACTCTTAATTGCTCATATGTATACCTAAAATATTGATTTGAAAATGTCTTATTGTTGATAATCTATACAGATAGTTGGAAGTGAAATAAGTTAATTGGGGATATAGAGTGTGGCCAACGTGCCAAGAATTTAAGTTATGATTGTGTCTAGTAGTGCAAATAATTTGAGAAGATGCAATAAAGAATATAAAATGAGCCTCGACTCAATTGTTTAAAAATGACTTCGAAGATAGAATTACCTAAAAGCTTTTGTACTCAATTCATGCCCATTAGTGGTTGCTTTAACTAATGTTTTGCTTTATAAATATATCTAGTGTGATTCGAGTTCTATATACGCATGTATTGAACTGGTACATTGTCATTGCTAGGGAAGAGCATTGTAAGAATAAAATGGTATATTGATTGTTTATGATTTTCATGTGTGTTTCTATTGTTGGATGGTATGCCTCATTCTTTGGGAAGAAACCATTTGTGTTTGAAGTTTTCATTTCAAATGGATTTGAAGTATATGATTTCTGGAATATCCTATATGTTGATACTTGATGGTGATCTTTGAAATTGAAAGAGGTGAAAGTGTGGAATATGAAATACGACCATCGTGCCAGGAATAAAGAATCTTGTGAATGGCCTAATGAGCCAAGGAAATATTGTCGTTGTGAATGAATGGGAATACTAATGAGAATTTATACAATGCGAAAGATGTTGAGGTGAGTACAATTGTATTTATGATATTTCTGTTTGCAAATCAAATCAAAAAAAGTTTTTGGGAGCATCATTAGCAAAACAGAGGAAGGGTGGGTCATAAGGCCCACACCTGAAACTACATGTGTCGGTGTAGTAGTGGATTGTGATTATTCCCCTTATTTGGGATGAAATTGGAACATTTGAAAAATTATGATATTATTCCCCTTAATTGGGATGAAAATGGAACCTTTGTGGATTGGAAAAGTCAACCCGCACGGCATACGTGGGAAGGCGGCTTAGCTGATCGGGTGGAGATCAGACGCCATATTGCGCATATGGTGGTACTACTCTTGGTAACAATTTTCTTTCGCATCACATGTCAAACCACATTGTTCGCGGGAGATGGCCTAGCCGACCGGGCGTGATCGGACTCCGTGCTAACAAAGATCATGGTATATCGGTGCTAATGATCTCCCAACCAAAATTGTATATGAAGTTCGTATTTTGAAAATTATTATGTTTTAACTGAACATTTGGATATTGTTGATTATGACTTGTTTGTTCCTATGTGTTGTCTTTTCTTATGAGGGCATTCTATTTTGAAAAAAAGACTTTTAGCTATGCATACTAGTGCTATTCGACAGTACTAACGTTCCTTTTGTCGGGGGCGCTGCATCTTTAATGGATGTAGGTGGTTCAATAACAAACAACATTGATCAGTGATAGCAGTGCACTATTTCCAGCTGATTTGGTGAGCCACACTTTATTTCGGGGTCATGTATCTTTTGTTTCTCATGTACTGTGTTTTGAGGTATGGCCGGGGCCTTGTTGCTAGCATTTCCATATTACTCTTCTATTGTATTTAGAGGCTCCGTAGACAGGTTGTGGTTTGTGGTTGAAGTTGAGAATTGAACTAGAAATGTTGGTATTTGAAAATCATGTTTTTCATTAATTCTATAAACTCGTAATATTTTGGAAATTATGAATGAAACTGCTAATGAGAATGAAAAAGGAAGTTGTTAATAAAATCCTTTCAATGAATGATTAATGAAGTACATCTCCTCTTTATTAACAGATGAGTTTGGGTAAAAGGAAATCTAATAGGCTTGCTCGGCCGGGTTCTCTCGGTTGAGTACCGGTCGCGCTTCCCGAGTTTGGGACATGACACATATGATACCCATATTCTAAAGACATCCATTCAAAAAAAACTGAAGCTAACAAAGTCTATGATCTCTCTAAATAATACGAAAATTAGTTTTTTCTTGAAATATCAAAACTTCTAGATTATTACCTATAAAACAAACCAAATTCCCTAGAGTCAGCTTATGGTGAAAAATAAAGTGTAAAATATGCGATGATAACAGAAAGGCCAGTTCAAATGATAAGTGAGAATGGAATAAATTAGCAAAAGGGGTTCGAACTCGAGACTCCGTAAGCCAGTACTTCCTCTCGAACAGAGCTCCTCACGTTGACGTTAGTAGACTAATCTATTCATTGGTAGGGCATTCCTACCTACGTACATGATTGATAGAATCACTACGTAGGGGCGGTCAACTTGATGCGGGAGAGGCA